CAAATATAAAGATTTATTTTTAAAAAATTTTTTAAAGAAAATTAAATGTTAAAATCAAAAGAAGTAACAACGTATTGTCAGGTTTATAAAATATGTAGAAGTAAAGAATATGCCACTAGCACAACAGGTAGCACAGGGATAAATTAAAATATATTGTTGTAAGGTTTTATTACATTTATGTGTAGTGGTGTAATATTACTTAACAGTAGACTGTCATAAATTCAAAAGGAACGTTTGAATTCTTATGGTGACCACTGAATATTTACAAATGGTTACAGCTCAAAAGGCAATAAAGGAGATAAAATGAATTATATTTCTTTTAAAGTACTCAGCGCAGGGCTTCCCTGGTGGCGCAGTGGTTGAGAGTCCGCCTGCTGATGCAGGGGACACTGGTTTGTGTCCCGGTCTGGGAAGATCCCACGTGCCGTGGAGCGGCTGGGCCCGTGAGCCGTGGCCGCTGGGCCTGCGCGTCCGGAGCCTGTGCTCCGTGGCGGGAGAGGCCGCGGCGGTGAGAGGCCCGCATACCGCAAAAAAAAAAAAAAAAAAAAAAGTACTCAGAGCAAAAGAAGGCAGACAAGTAGGGGAAGAGGAACAAAGCACAGCTATTTCAAATAGAAATCAATTAGGAAGATGGCTGACTTCGACCCAAGAGTATTAATAATTTCCTTAAACATAAATGATCTAATCAATCATATTAAAAGGCAGAGATTGTCAGACTGGATACAAAGCAAGATACTACTCTATGCCACTGAGAGGAAATGTTTTTTAAATGTGAAAGGACAAATACATTAAAAGTAGAAAAATGAAATGTATAAACCATGAAAATAATACTCATGATAATTTTGCTATATTAATATCAGACACAGCAGAGAAAAAGACATTCAATAATGATGAACGGGGCATTTCACTAAGAAGACACAGGAGGGCTTCCCTGGTGGCACAGTGGTTAAGAATCCGCCTGCCAATGCAGTGGACACGGGTACAAGCCCTGGTCCAGGAAGATACCACATGCCATAGAGCAACTAAGCCCGTGTGCCCCAACTATTGAGCCTGTGCTCTAGAGCCTGTGAGCCACAACTACTGAGCCCACGTGCCTAGAGCCTGTGCTCCACAGCAAGAGAAGCCACCACAATGAGAAGCCCGTGCACCACAATGAAGAGTAGCCCCCACTTGCTGCAACTAGAGAAAGCCCATGTGCAACAATGAAGACCCAACACAGCCAAAAAAAAATAAATAAAATAAATAAATACGAAGACGACACAGGAATCCTGAATGTGTATGCACCTTATAACAGAAATTCTAAGCACATAAAATTTAATAGGTATAAAAGAAGAAATAGCCAGAACTACAGTTATATTTGGAGATTTCAACATTCCTTCCCAATAATTGAAAGAGTAGACAAAAATAGTAGTAAGAATATGAGAGGTTTGAATAACACTGTCAACCAACTTGATCTATTAGACATTTTGGGACTCTAAACCCAATGAAGTCAGAATACATATTCTTTTCAAATGCAACTAGAATGTTAATTAAGGTAGATAATATGCTGGGCCATAAAATGTCTCAAAATGGCAAAGGACTGAGATCATAGAGTGTGTTTTTTTTTTGTTTGTTTTGTTTTTTGCGGTACGCGGGCCTCTCACTGTTGTGGCCTCTCCCATTGCGGAGCACAGGCTCCGGATGCGCAGGGTCAGTGGCCATGGCTCACAGGCCCAGCGTCTCCACGGCATGTGGGATCTTCCTGGACTGGGGCACGAACTCGTGTCCCCTGCATCGGCAGGCGGACTCTCAACCACTGCGCCACCAGGGAAGCCCCATAGAGTGTGCTTTCTGACCACAGTGAAATTAATTTAAAAATTGGTAACATTCAGGTATTCTGAAAAATCCCTGAATGTTTGGAAAGGCGACAACATATTTGAAATAACGACTATACCAATGACATGACAAGGGAATATAGAAAGTATTTCAAGTTAATGATAAATTTTAAAAACATGACATTTGTGGGTTGCTGCCAAGGATTCCTTAGAGAGAAATGCATGGCTTTAAATCTGTTCATTAGAAAGGAGGACAGCTTTCACAATCAATGATCTAAGTTTCCATCCAAAGAATCTAGAAAATGAGGAGCAAATTAAAAGATGTGGAGAGCGGTTGTGATACCAGCAAACAGTTGAGGGAGGTGCCTCCAGACTTATTTAAATGTGCACAAGCTGAGCAGAGAAGGCTTGAGTTGACACTCATCCAACATAATACCTCTCTCTCTCTCTCATCCCTGCCCAACCAACATACCACACATAGACACATACATTTTCTCTCTGGAAAAGCCTAATGGGTAAGGTAGCTAGAAAATCTTCAACCCCCAGGTCAATCAGAGTGTGCTTAACATTGTGACATACAGAAAACTTGCCTTATTCATGCATTTTTAGTCAGCTGCAGTGACTCTGTTACATAAGACCCAGAAATATTAGCTATGGTAACCTGGCATAAAATGCTAGAAAAGAGGAAGTGCCTTTTCAGAAGGATGCAGAATTCTTATAAATCATCTATAAATGGGTTATATTTCAGTAGCAATAATCTGTGGCATCTACTCTTCAAAGCAAGAGATCCTGAGGAGAGGCAACAGTAACAGTTGTGCCTGAGAGCAACAATGCTAACTTATTTACTATCCTTTGTTAATCTCTATTATTTTCTAATTATGTTGATTTTGAAACTAGTGTGTTTCAATATCCTGGCTTCCTCCTTAGATTTTCCATTGTCTCATAGTCACCAGTAGTTATTCTGAAAAAAATACTCCATGTATTAGGACTGTGGGAATGAAGCTGGTATCTAGTGGAGTTAGCAGAGTTGTGTTTCCTAGAGACCTGTGTGCAGGAGCTTTTCCAAGATGTACATATAGCCTCTCCACTGTCCTCTTGAGATGTTTTCTTCAGTCCCATTGTTTTCTACACCTGACTGTTAGACTCATCTTTCAGTCTTAAGTTCTTCATTGTGAATAGGATGTTTTAACATTAAGAGATATTTTATTAAGAAGCCTTATTCCAGTGGGGGAAAAACAAACAAATAAATTTGTTCAAGTTTTGTTGGAGAGAAAAATAAATTTATAAGCTTTCGAATTTCAGACTTTCTAAGCAAATATTAATAACAAGTTTGAACTGTATATATTTGAGGGACATCATGGAAAGAAGACAAATACTTGTTAAGGATGGAAACCAGAAAACCCATCCACAGTTCATCATACAGATACACAGATCCATTTGTGAAAAAGAGGAATGCAGCTTAGCCTCCTGCTAGAGCTGTATGTCTTGGACTTGGCAGACAGTGTTTACTTACAAGCCAGAGAAAGGGAGCACAGAAAGGAGAATCTATGTGTGACTATTTTTTCTATCCCACTCCATAGTGTCACATTATTTTGAATGATGAGCATAAACTTTTCCATTGTGTTATAAAATATTAACAGACTTCTAGTAATGGATTTTCATAATGGGCATTCTCTAAGAGAAAATGTACCTATTAAGAAATGGCAAGATGTTGTAGAAGGATCTGAGATTTGTAAAAGCCTTATGGAGGAGGGGGTAGGAATTATCTGTAGGAGTATATTTTCTGATGGTAAACAGAAGGTGCTCATCTCTGATGCAACTGAGCTGTGTTTCACACCCGCACATGTTTCTTCCTGCAACATACAGGGAAGCATACATTTCAGAAATTAGATAACATTTCAGGTGGGTTTTTTCCTTTTCTGTTTAGAACAAGAGCTATTCTCAGTGTTTATACCTTTTCTGCTTTCTTTTTATTTTCCTCTTTTGCTCTTACATTTTCACATATTTGTGATGACTTTCCTTGTTCAGTTAATGGTAGTTATGTAGTAACTCCAATTGACTATATAATTATGGTAAAAGTGTGTTTGGTGGTATTATTATTGGGATTAATCAGGAATGTCAGGGTTTGACATGGAGGGAGAACAAAAAGAAAGGGTATGGGAAACAGCCAGATTCCATATCCTCTGTGGGTTGGGTGACCAGAGACAACCCTGTACTGGAAAGGAAATTTCTCTTTGTCCTCTGACCTACTCTATTTCCACATTAGGCAGATGGCCCTGTCTACTATCTATACCAATATTTGGTGCTGTGTGTTGTGGCCATTAGTGGTTTTGAGTTTTAAAGGTGAGGACATTCATTTAAGGAATAAGATTTCAAATGAAATCCTCAAGGTCTGGGCATGATGAACATATACACGCATTTTACTATACTTCAGACTTTCTTAGCTAAATAAGAACAAAAGTAACCAAATAGATGTGAGGTAGGCTGTATACTTGGGAAATATGTTTAAGGTTAGGTGAACTTTTTGAAGTTTCTAAAGAAAGGAAAGACAAATTTAGGGAAATGGCTTTTAGGAGTAAGTCTATGTATTAAAATATAAATGGATAATTAGGGAAAACGTAGGAAACTCTAAACAGTTATACCTTTGTAACCTTTTTAAGCCTCTGGGCTTTAGTTTTCAATCTCTAAAATGGAATTACTATTCTCTCCTATATGAAGTTACTTTGCAGATTGAATGAGATGTTGTTTGTAAACCGACTGCTTGGATTACCTGGCGCTCAGTATGGGCTCAATAGATGCAGCTAGGGTTATTTTTTAGTATATTCCATAAAAAGAACAGAGATCCTGAGGGGATGTGGAGGAGTTCCTCATGAGTGATTGAAATGTGAAACTCATAAACTATTTCCAAGAATATGATTCTCTCCACTGAAGATCGAGTTCTCTTGTCAGATATAAAATATTAAGAAAATTACACTGTACCATATTTAGTCTACACAGTTCCTAAAATAATATGCTAGAAAAAATACAATAAATACTGTGTTGAAGTTGAGCCAATTAAGCAAGTAGAAACTCTAGTCATTATATTTTAAGACAATGGAAAGGGCAAAACTTCCTCACAGTAAGTAGCTTATTCTGGGAATACTGAGCTGATACTTTCCCCCTTCACTCCCAACACACACAGAAACATGGCTGTTGACAGAAAGTGATGCAACTGAGGAAGTCAAGTTATAGATGTTCAGTCACCAACATGAGACTCCTGAGCTGGAGGCACTGTGATGGTATCACCCACTGTCTCTGAGCATCAAAGGTGAGAGTGTTTCTCTTCTTATATCAGGCTGGTTAATTACTGCTCCAGCTTGGCAATTTTTTTCACCAGTGCAACTGTCAGTGTCTCTACATGTCCTTTATCTTTTTCTTACTTCTTTCTCTCTCTCCCTCTCCAACTCTCTTCTTTTTTCTCTAATTACTCTTTTTTGTTTGTTTTTAAAAATAAGTTTATGTTTTTGGGTCATCCCCAGCCAGCAATTTTCTTTTTAATGATGAAAATTAAGTTATGGAAGGCAATAAGTTAAGGAGAATTTAATAAAGTATCCAGAATGCCTGGGGAGAGAAATAAACTTACTGGTGACTAAGGAATACTACAGCTCTAATGTCAGCTCCTAGTCCTTTACATGGAATGTGCTTGAAAGAAACAAGGCTGATCTGGAATGAGCTGTGTCTCAGGGGCAAGTAGGTGGGACAGCCAACATGGTCTTGCAGGACATGTTAGAGAATGAGTAAAAAAAAAACACAATCAGTGGTAAAATTATTTTCTCAGTTGGAAATTTCCAGTGGTAGGCTGTGGCTTAGTGGAAATTTTAGAGTCTACCCTGAACGAGACTCCAAATACCACTTGTCAAGATTGCATTAGAAAGAAAGAAAGCTGTCAGTCAAGGAACAAATCTGGTAACTGAAAATTATCCTAAGATTTCTATTGAGATATAATTTTGGACTACGGGACTAACGTTTCTATTTTAAAACGTTCATAAAACCATGAGCATCACTATTGAATCTATAGCTATAAAATCTTTTTCATTTTGAGTTATGAATATTGCTATCTTTCTCTTTGTGAAAATTTCACTCCACTAGGGTTAATATCTAAGTTGAACTTATATGGGGTGCTTATAAGTTCAACTGGAAGAAAATTCCATGAAGTAGGAAGGATGACAGATATTCAGTGACTGATGAGTGACAAGAATGATGCTCCTTTACAGTACCGAAAAGTCTGTTTCCCCATTTCCTCTTCAAGATTTCCAACTGTCCTTGGAATCCAGGTCTGATAGAGTGGAAGTGGATTTATTGGTTCTTGAATCCTAGTAGTTCTAAATAATAGTACAAAAGGGAAATAACTAGTCATTTGAGGAAGACCAGAAATATGGAGGACATATTTGAGACCACGTGGAGTATAAAGGAAATAAGAGACATAGTTGGTCTTGATAAGCATCGGGGCGTAGCGAGGTCTGCTGCTTCATCTGTGGTGTGAGAGTTGGGCCCTTGAAACAAACATCCCAGACATAGCAGACACAGTGATCTTTCAGAAAATGTTGATACTGAGAAATATTACTTAAGAAAATGGGAAGGAAGCACACTTTAATATTAGAATCATACAACTTGAAAGACATTTTCTCCACAAAGAAAATAATCCTAAAGCAGTAACTGGGGCACCCAGAATAACTCAGAATACAAAACCACTAGTTCAGGTTCTGAAACTGATGTTTTAAAATATCTTATGAGTGTCATAAGACAAAGATGTCTGAATTTGGAAACTATTCTGGTGTCAAATTTTAATGAAATGCACGGCAAATAAGATGAACAGAAGATGATGAACTAATAATCGCTCAAATCTCATTAAAAAAAAAAAACGGTGAAAGAAGTATGTTCAGGTAGGCAAATATCTAAGTTTTCTCCATCCATTTACTAGGTTAAACTAGAGGGGTGGCAAGTCCAGAAAACACACCATTAAAGAGAACTCCAATGAACTGCACGTAGGTAGAATTAAAAGCCAGAGATAATAGGCCTAAGTGTTGGCAGTATCAAAAGGAGGTGCAGTGTCAGAGAGGGTTGAACCTGGGCTTTGTAGGGGAGCAAATTAGTGTCACAGAGTGTTTCATGCAACTTCCCTGTGTCCTGGAACTGATTTGGGGAACCTTAAATTGATGCAAAGAAGTTTCAAACACTCCCCCTATTCTAAAGAAAGTCCAGAATAATTGGAGTCTGACATCTTCCTAAGACTCAGCCAGTCATGGTCCAATAAGTTCTGTTACTCAACTGTCCACCCCTTTCTTCTATTCCATTTACATAAAACCACTATGGGAAGGGTAGATATTTCAAAGAACTCTGTTGAATTTCTACATAAGCACCTAGAAGGGAGTGATACAGCTTGTGCTACCCTTTCCTGTTGAGGAGGAGGTGTGTGTTCCTCATCTACAATCTAAGGGAATGTGGTTCACAGAGAATAATTTGTAGAGATGAGGGATGTCTGAGAGAGAAGATGATCCTGGCATTTCATTTCCCTTTTGGAAGTGTTCTTATGCAGTGATTTGCTGATAATGATATCTGTGCCTTTTTTGAACAGAACAATAAGATAATTGGCAAAGAAGGATGGGGGGAGAACAGGCCTGGAGAGGAGAGAGGACAGCCATGTAGCAGTCAGCCTTCTACCCCTTGTGGTGTCAAAAGGATGTGTGGGGTTTTATGGGTCTGTTGGACACTTGGAAGGAGGTGAGCTTCAGCTGCCCTGTAGGGACCACACTCAAGAAGGAGGCTTTCTGTATGACTGGTTCTACTAAACAGAGGCTCAAGCTGTGGCAGAGAGTGGAAAGAAATTAAACTGGAATCAGGTGGCCCTCATCAGCATGGGCAGTTATGGGGGGTGTCTTTGATAAAACCTCTCAAGGAACCCACATATACCTAATCCACATTTGCAGCAAAGAGAACATTGAGCTACTGTCAATATTTAGTGAAAGAAAGGGCAAAACAGCCAAAGGCGGGGCTCTCAAAGCAGCCTGAGAACAGAGATACAATGCCTCACTATTCAAGCTTCTTTGGCAGATGTCTGGGGGAAGGGAAGAGATAAACATTAAATACCATATAAGACTGAAGGGTTAAACAAAGCCATAGAGCTTGTACTTAAAAGTGACTGGAAGTTAGGGAATCTGTCCACAATGTAGTGTTACTAACAGTCCTCCAAGAAACATGTGCCAAGGTGATTAAACAAGCAAGGATTTTTATTATGGTAAGGAAGCAACTGTGAGAGAAAATGGGAAGGAAGCCTGAGGAACCTGGGAGAGCCAGGCATCAGATGACAATGCAGCGCTGACGGTGAGTGAAGGGGAAAGGGAAGGAAGAGTGGGTGGCTGGAAATGTCATAATCAGCTGTGTGGTCTAGGGAAGATTTAGCAAGGTGCTTGGGAACATGTCAGCCAAAGTTGCCTATTAGAGGAATTCCATGTCTTCCAGAAATAGACTTGCTTTATATCCCTGCAGAGTAGCATCCCAAGAAAAGCACATGAACTAGGATAATAGATCTATTAGTATCTATTGGATAATAGATCTATTATTATCTGTTGGATAATAGATCTATTATTATCAGATAATAGATAGGTAATAGTATCTATTTATAGAGCACAGCACCTGGGGTTCTGGATCTATTATGTTCCCTGTAGTTGAAGGTCTACAAGAAATACTGTCAAGGCCACTTCAGTAGTTAAGAGAAAGTAAAGGGGAGTTTTGACAGAGCATGGGTGCAGGAAGTGTTGGGAAAAAACTGAAGCTTGAGCCCCACAAGTTCTATCTGACCAATAAAGTGATTATATAAATTGATGAGTAGCTTGGGAGAACAGCAGAGGCAAATAATTCAGGATCTAGGACATGATTGAGGAAATTTTGTGCTGGCCATGTAGCCCATTGGTAGCTACGACCTGGACACAAGGAAAAGAGAGAAAACTAGAGCCTTTAAAATGACATGGAATGCTAGAACCATCAGTTTTAAATAGTGCTCAAAGAAATAATTTTGTTGCTATTGTTGTTCTTTATGTATTTACCTTGCCTCATGTATTATTTTATCTCTTTTTATTTTATTTTTCCTGAGGTTACTAATTCTGAAAAAGAGACATTATTAACCAAATGCATTTGGGATAAAAACTCTCACAACTGCTGCTTAAAAAATAAACTTTTATTTTGGACATTATCATGATTTTCAAAAGTAGGTAAAATAGGAAAATGAGCTTGATATATTAGTCACTATCTTCAACGTGCTTTTTCTTTCATCAACATCCTTTCCCCATTTCACTCCCCGTGGATTATTTTGAAGCACAACCAAGCCATCATATAACTTTACTATAGTAAAGCTCTAGGTGCTCTTCTAAAATAATAGGTGGGCAACTTCATGAAAGTTGAGGATTTATGACTTGTTTCATGGTGACTCAGAGAGCTTAGAAAGGTAGCACAAATTGTTGGCACTGCTGAAATTTGATTTAGTTTTGAATAATTAATTGATTCCAAGGACATTTATTAATTGAGTACTTTGCGGGAGGGAATTTTAAATATAGATTAAAAGTTTAAGAGTTACATGGGTTTAGTCCATATCCCACCTCTAACACTGTCTACCTAAATATATAAAGCTCTCCACTGCCTTTATATGTTCATCTGTACAATAAAACTAATATTACTTACCAATTAAGTTGGTTGTAAGCATTAAATACGTTGTATAAACAATGTGTTCTGAATAAGCGGCACTATACATGGTAGCTAATGCTATTATTTGTACTTCAATGCAGTGAAATAACAATGTGAGATGCTAGGGAGAGAGAAGAGGAACTCCTCATGAGAAACTGATTAGGTTGAAATAAGATTTTCCTGGAATAATGGAGTGATGCCAGAGTTACACTCTTGCAGTCTAGGTGGCAATAATCTTTCTGTGGTGCTCAGAGGTCTCTGCGTTTCCATTCCCGAACTTCTTTCCCCAAACAATATTTTCTCCTTACCATAGTTGATCCCCATCAGTTATCCAATCTAAGATATTTATGATGTCAGCAGGTTATCTCAAGTTTCACAGAGAACATGTAAAACAATGTTCAGCTATCAAATCCAAGCTGGTTCTTTTACAGAAATTGACAAGCTGATTGAAAAATTCATATGGAAATGCAAGGAATTCAGAATAGCCAAAACAATCTTGAAAAAGAAAAAAGTTGGAGGACTCACACCTCAGACATACTATGGGTCAATGAAATACTATTTAGTGTCCAGAAATAAACCTTTACATTTCAG